GAACAGGCTCCTCCTGTTCCTCTGCCTCTCTGCTGTCCGACTCTGGAAGCTCCGGAGTCCGCACATCACTCCCAGATGGCCCTGCCTCCATATCTGTCTCCGACCCAGAGCCCTCATCCGGGCCTTTCCCAGACTCCAAGACTGGCCCATGGTCCTCCCCAGACTCCTCACTGTCCGACTCTGCTGCCAGTTTCTCAGGCTGCTGGCAGACCACAACATGATGAGATTGCAATCAGGGAGAGGCAATCCCTCAAATATCCTGATCCCATGCTATGTAGGGCTTTACAGTTCCTTACCAGCAACTTGAACTGAACCTACAGTAGAACCATATTAGTAGCCAGTGCAGCTGACAAACCAGAGATGTAAAGTGTGCTGAGGAGCAGGCATAACTCCCTGTGCCACTGAATTTTGCATGAGCTGCAGCTTCCACATGCTCTTCAAGGGCAGCCCCATGTAACTCACATTACAGCAATCCATTGGTGATCAGTCCAGGGTGGAAATGATTGAGAAGAGGTACAAATGGTATACAATATGAATGATCTGTCCCCGTCCACACACACACACAAACACAGCCAGCCGAGGGTTAAGGAAGTACTTGGCATGCACACAGGTCGTTATCTCAAACTTGGCAGCAATATAATCACTGTCTGCCAAGAGCTTTTACTGCAACAGATAACACAAAATTACATACGCATTGCAAATAGTCCAGCAAAAACAATATCCCTTTCGGCAGCTTCAGACGTTGTTCAAGTGACTAGCCAAAGTTCATTTTTGTTCGTCACGGAGTTTTACCAGCCACCACCCTCTCTTATATAGTCTCTGGGGTGTGGTCCAGTGACTCAGTTCTAATCCCTAGCACGCCTCCTTAACTGCTGCAACCGTTTATCACGCCTTCGTTGGCGTGCATACAGGAATGACGGCTCTCCTTCGCTCTCATCCGAGACACCTGGCTCCTGGCTAATCTCCTCTCCCTCGGCCGGCACCTGAGACAGTGCCAGAGGGGAGGGGCCTGGAGAGGGAGGCCTGGCTGACACCTCTTCCTCATGTTCGGAGTTTTCTTCCTCCGATGAGATAGGCTCAGAGGGTGGGTCCACAACAATGAAGCTTAACCAAAGGCCCTCCAGGCTAGAGCTGCCACCTGCTCTTTGAGCTGAAGTCATGACTCATGAGCTTGAACCAAGACAATATCAAAATAAAAGAAATTAGAGGTTCAGACAGAAATGTTAATCTGAGAAAGCATCTCAGACATGACTTCCCTAGTTCTCATGAAGACAAAGGGAGCAGAGAGAAAATACATTAAGATTTACAGGGTTCTATTATTATAACCTTAAAAAGTGGCAGAAACTTACTTGTCTTTGGTTTCCAAGTTTGGCCTGCCTTGGAAAACTGGTGTCAATCTTTTCACCTGGAGGAATGGTGGGATCTATGGATGAATAGAAGTCACATGGATATGATCCAATCCATAGCCCCCACTACTCCCTCATTCCAGGCAGCAGTTAGACGCAGTGGTGGGTTTCAAATTTTTTTACTACTGGTTCTGTGGGTGTGGCTTGGTGGGCATGGCTTGGTGGGTGTGGCAGGGAAAGGATACTGTAAAATCTCCATTCCCTCCCCAATCCAGGGGAAGGTTACTGCAAAATCCCCATTTCCTCCTGATCAGCTGGGACTTGGGAGGCAGAGAAGAGATGGGGGCGGGGCCAGTCAGAATTTTTACTACCAGTTCTCTGAACTACTCAAAATTTCCGCTACTGGTTCTCCAGAACTGGTCAGAACCTGCTGAAACCCACCTCTGAGTTAGAGCCTCAATCAGATCATGGAGCAGACCATCAGAAACAACTCCAAGATCCTTCTGGAACCTGTCAGGGATACTTGTTCCCTGGGAGGTTCTGATTGAATTAGATCCCATCTCTTTGCGGTGAGAAATGGCGACAGAAAACCACAATGGTTACCAGGGAGTGATGTGACTGTGACAAGGGAGTAACAGAACTCACCCAATTCTAGATCCGAATGAAGACCAGATCCAGTGTATTATTGCATTCCTTGTTTGATGGCTGTTATGTAGCCGTAAACTCCCGAGTTAGCCCAAATGCCACTCTCACAAAAGGCAACTTGAAGTCTCCTAGAACCATAAACCTTGGCAATTCCACCACCAGTCTGGTTATGCAGTCAAGAAACACAGGCAGAGAAGTTGCCATGCACCAATTAGCCAAGTATCTTAAAAAAAAATATTAACATTATTTCCGGTTTAATCTATTTAATGCTGGTATGCATTAAAATTAATTTGTGGATGATCATCCGCAAGGGCTTCGTTTCTTCCATAATACTACCTGGGACATTTTAACTGTGACTTTTAATCATAGTAATGTTTTTATATAACATGCTATGTCAGAAGCAAGTAGAGCACAATATGGCTCAACCTTCTGTCAGAATGAGACCATCTTAGCAGGAGAAAGGGAATTCTCACACTCCCTCCCCCCCCCCCCCCCGGTCATTTTGTCATCACCATCTCTGTGCCTAGCTTCTTTGGCAAAAGTATTGTCACTTTTCTGGATTCAGTTAAATTTTAGTTAGGGAAAAAAGGGGGAAAGGCCTATGGCTAGCCAGCTTGTATCCAAATCAGTAATGGATTGCTGCAAATCTTCAATAACAGAACATTTATCTTTAAAGGAAACCTCTCAAAAGATTTTTTTTTTAATTTTAATAAAATTCAATTTTTCCCTTTTTGTCTCTAAGTTAAACCCCTAAATTTAAAATCTCACAACATACTGTAATTCCCAATATTTCCTTAAATTCCCTTATTATAATCACAAATATTTTTCTTTATCAACTGTTTCAGATAATACAATCCAACATCTTGATAAAATTTTTTCAAGTATATAATCTCTTCTTATCAAATAATAAGCCAAATTACTTTGTACAGTACATTTTCTTAAATCTTAACTCCAATTTTCAATTACTTTATCAAATATACGCATTTATACCTCTTCAAACAGTATCTTAATCTTTTCTAATTTCACAAGTCTAATTAATTCACAATACAATATTATTTCCAATTTTTAGTTAAATTCCAAAATTGCAATTAAAAATATTCCAATTGTTACAATTTCTCTATTTAATTAAAAATATTCCAACTATTACAATATCATATATTAAGCTTATTCGTATTTCTAAGTCTCATTTCAATTCATTTATACATCCATGTAATTTTCCATTACTTTATACTTACTTAGTTAATTTCATTATTACAGTTCGATACTTCCAAGCATCACAATCTCAACTGTTACATTTAATTACTTTGTTATTTATATATATATATATATATATATATGTATGTATATATATATATATATATATATATATATATATATATATATATATATATATATCTTCAATATCTAATTTCACAACAAGTCTAATTAATTCCTAATACCGTATCATTTCCAATTTTTTTAGTTAAATTCTAAACTTGCAATTAAAAATATTCTAATTGTTACAATTTTAAACTTATTTTCTCAAAAGAAATTTTAAAGAGAGAAAGAGAGTTAAGATTTTTCACACTGGTTTTTCTCAAATGACAAAAAACAAGCTGGATAATGAAAAATGGCCAAGGTGACTGCAGGGGATGATGATGATGATGATGATGATGATGATGATGATGATGATGATGATAATGCAATGTTTTAATGCGTGACACAAGCAGAACTTTGAATGCATCATCTAAAAGAAACCCTCAAGGGAATGGCTGCTCTAATTGTCTCTTCAGCCTTTCCCATATATTGTAGCAGTGCTCACACTTCCTTCTTGTCCATGCTTACCATGATTAAAGGTAGGCATAGGTCTTCACAGGGCATGGTTAAAAAAAATGACAAGATAGCTGTCACAATAATGTCATGGAAACTCCATCTCTTTTTATGTGCCCTTCAAACTTTTATTTAAAAAAACAACAACAGGTGGAACTTTGGCATTGGGGCATTCTTTGGGCCACAATCTTGACTTTTTGACCATACCCAGTGGACATCCCTGATGAGAGGCATCTACAGGTATTTGGATCTGAAATAGGAAAAGTGCTTCAGGAGCCAACATATACACCTTTACTCTACCTGTCTCTATGCCCTTGACATTCCCTGAATTGAAACATGCATTGTTTGGGAATATTGCAGTTACCATGTAAAATCAGGAAAAGGAGTGTCTCCTTCTAAGTTGGTGTTGACAGGTACAACAGGTGCACCTGTACCAAGTCAGTAGCACTATCTCCCACTTTGGATGTTGTTACTCAATTCCTTGGCTGAATCAACCCCAAGAACACAACATTCTAAGACGTAATTCAGTGTTAGGCAAGCCAAAATACTTGCCTTTGAGCCACACCCTAGAATAAAATCCAAGCCAATTATATTTTTATCAATGCAATGTATTAACTCCTCAACCTGGCAACCAGAGAAGAACAGAAGGAAAATGTTCATATCATTTCAGTGATTCACATGACAGTTTTGAATAGCTTTATCTTTAGAGGAAATTTGGTACATTTGTCTTTCTTCTTTTTCTTCCTTCAACATCTTGAAGTCTATAAACTTAAAAAAAAAGAAGAAGAATGACAGGTACGGAGTCTTTTGCGACATCTACTTCAGTCCTGATTTTTTTTTTTTTAAATCCGTTTCTTCTATTTTCCAACTCCAATTATGGACTAATTTCCCAGGAATTGCCTGCAAGATCAAAGAAAGAATATAGTCTTAAGTCAAGAATGTGACCAGGAGCTGGGAGGGTCATACACTGGCCCTTCTTTACAGCTGACTTCTTCTACCAGAACATTAGAAGTTTTCCCAAAGTATTATGAATGCAAATAAACCTGACCTATTTTTATTATGATTATGTGCATGTGTTTTTTCGAACTCTTATGGAAAGAATTCCTATGATAGCAAGAGTGAAATGCCAGATTAAATAATTGCATGCAAAGATTTCCTTTATATTCCCTACTTTCGCATCTTTATTTGTGTTTCTTCTAGAAATTGACCAGGGAAGCTGTGGAGATCCCGGAATGCTGGCGTATGGCAAGAGAGAAGGGTCAACATTTCGCCACGGAGACTCGTTGACATTTGAATGCCAGCCTGCATTTGAACTGAAGGGGCAGAAAACAATCACTTGTCAAAAAAGTAGCCAGTGGTCTTCTCAGAAACCAGTCTGTGTTTGTAAGTCAGAGGGAAAGAATGCCCTTTCCCATTTAACCAGGGATATCTCACAAGCTATCAAGTGAACAACTTGACATGTTGGGTGCAATGGAGATGGGAATAAAACGAAACCAAACCTAGGCGGTTCCATAAGCAGGCTAGCTTTGAACACCTTAGATGGTTTGAAAGAGTCTCATGTTTCCAAGGATTAACTGAAATTCGGGCATGGAGAAGGAAGCACCAGCTGCTTGATTGGGGAGGCTCTAGTTACAAACTCCAGTCACCCAATTGTAGTTGGCAAAGAGAGAGAGGTCGCTGACACCCCAAAAGCTGTTGATCTTCGGAAGAAGATTCTTATGTCAGGAGCAGCAGTCACCATTGTGAAAATTCCCAATGTTGTACTGCGCCAAAATATCATGAGACTTTATGTGAAAAAAGAGATTATCTGAGTCTTGGCTACCTTGCAAAATTTCACCCGTCTCTCTGTATATGTCCTGGAGGTCTATTTATACCACCCTAAGTGATGTTCTAGAATTGCTGGATGCCACATTGCATTTCAAATCAAGACCTATCTATCTTGCTTTGGGCACGTAGTATATACACCTGGGGTTTAGAAGGTCATGAGGGCAGGTTAGACTTTAGAGACCTTTCCTCCAAAATATGGGTGAAATCCAGTGGTGAAATGTAAAATTTGTTACTACCAGTTCTGTGGGCATGGCTTGGTGGGGGGATAATGTGACTGGGTGGGTGTGGCCAACTTTTTTTTTTTATTTGATTTATATGCCGCCCTTCTCCAGAGACTCAGGGTGGCTTACAATGCGTTAAGCAATAGCCTTCATCCTTTTGTATATTTATACAAAGTCAGCTTATTGCCCCCACAAACTGGGTCCTCATTTAACCTACCTTAGAAAGGATGAAAGGCTGAGTCAACCTTGAGCCTGGTAAGATTCGAACCTGCAGAAATTGCAGGCAGCTGTGTTAATAACAGGGTGCATTAAACCACTGTACTACCAAGGCTCCTTTAACTTTTAAAACTATTTTTTCTAGTTTTATCAGGATCATCAGAGGCTTTTTTTTTCTTTTAAAAGCATTTTTTCGGCCGAAGAGGTTGTAGAAAAAATGCTTTTAATTTTTTTTTAAAAAGCCTCTGATGATTGCGCAGCTCAGCTGGGCATGGGGGGGGGGGCGTGGGCAGGTATTTTTGCTACCGGTTCTCCAAACCACCCGCCACAATTGCTACCGGATCGGACGATCCGGTCAGAACCAGGAGCATTTCACTCCTGGTGAAATCTACTTACCTTCCTTACTGGTTCGGAAGTGCATGCGCGCGCATCACATGCGTGCACAGACCCTCTGTGCATGCGCAAAACCTGCGCATGTGCAGATGGTAAAAAACACAATACTTCCTGGTTAAAACCAGGAAGTAACGACACCTGGGTGGATGGGCGGAGCCTCGTGCCACCATCGCTACCGGTTCTCCGAACCTGCCACAATTGCTACCGGATCACCCAATCTGGTCCGAACTGGGAGCATTTCACCCCTGCTCCAAAGCCCCTACATTCTCAGATAGGTTTAGTAATTAAGAATACTCAATTCCGGGGTTTTAAGAGGTAACTGCCTCAACTACTTTTATTTCTATAATGCCTTTCTTCCCATAGTAGCTCAGGAAAGAAAATAAGAACAATGGGAGACCTTGACTAAACCCAATTTGATCCTTCTCCAAATTCTAAACTACAAAGAACACTTTGAGTTACAGTGACTAAAACCCTCTTAAAAACCCACTCATGGATGGATTATAGACTGAAATAACTGGGTGGAGAATCTCTTCTAAAACTACTGAAGAAGTCCTTCTTAGGCGAGCGAGCACTAGGGAAATAAAGTTAATCCAGTACCTGTGTCTGTCTGACGGATGCTCAAGTTAGCCAGCAGGCAAGTCCTCAAAGGATAATCTGAGAATCCAGACAGAAGCTGGCTGCCTGCCTGCCGGCTTCCCTCCCTCCCTCCCTCTCTCAATAAACTGTGTATTTCTGCTTGTCATATTTTCCATTTAGTGGTTAATTGTCTCCTTTCATCCCCCTTCTGATGCAAAAGGGCAATTATCACTAAGTTTAAAAAAATGCAAAGGTACAGGATGATAGGCAAGGCAGATAAGCCTTTTTATCTGCTCGGCTCCTGGGGAGCTTCCTGATTTTGCAGCCTTGCTTCTGTCTGAATGTTTCTCACATCCAACTGTCATCTGCAGCCATGGACTGAATGAGAGTTCTACGATGCTTCATCTCTGAAAAATGATGGTGCGATCCAGTGGTGAAATGTAAAATTCGTTACTACCGGTTCTATGGGCATGGCTTGGTGGGGGGAGTGGTAATGTGACTGGGTGGGCGTGGCCAACTTTTTTTTGTTTGTTTTTTACTTTTTAAAGCATTTTTTTCTACAATCTCTTTGGCTGGAAATGCTTTTAAAAGGCTCTGACGATCCCAGCTGAGTTGCCTGATCGTCAGAGGCTGTTTTTTTCTTTTAAAAACATTGTTTCTACAACTTCTTCGGCCGAAGAGGTTGTAGAAAAAATGCTTTTAAAAGTAAGAAAAAAAGCCTCTGATGATCACGGGGCTCAGCTGGGCATGGGAAGGGCAGGGATTTTTGCTACCAGTTCTCCGAACTACCTGCCACCATCGCTACCGGATTAGGCGATCTAGTCCGAACCGGGAGCATTTCATCCCTGGTGCGATTGCTTGGGCTAAAGGGTGCCTATTTGGGGAAAGTAACATCTGCCTCCTCTGGATCTAAGAATGCTCACCTAATCTTAAGATTTGCAAGTATTGCACAACCTACAAAGAAGGTCTGGAACAATTTTAGTTCGCTACGTATTATACCCGATGCAGGTTTTTCCTCTCTGTGATGCTATACAATACTTGTAGATTGGTAGTTGGGTACGACTCCTATGCATTCATCTCCCAGTGTTCTAGCCCTACACATGCATTCAAATTATTCCTATGAAAACTAGAAGTGGAAATATGAGGAAAGAGCAGGGGTGGGTTCTACTTACCTTTATTACTGGTTTGCAATGGGGCCGCACGTGCGCGCACTCTTCTATGCATGGGCAGAAGCTTCTGTGCATGCGCAGAAGCATTTTGATGACATCGGGGTCAGTGGACGGAGCCTCTCTCTAGTTTTACTACTGGTTCTATAGAACTGGTGTGAACCAGGACCAACCCATCACTGGGAAAGAGCCTTCCCAACATCTCTATCTTTTATTGGGTTGAAGACTCAGATCTAATGTACTTCCCAGCTTTTCCTTTCATTACGTCTTTCCTTTTATTTTTTTTACTAAAAGCCTTTGCACAGCCTCATGTGACAGGGATTGGCAATACAATACAGGTAATCCTTGACTTTCTAGGGCCAGTAATTCAGTAATAAATCATTGCAGTCATAAGTCAAGGTACCCATGTGACTGGACCTGTTTTTTGTTTTTTTTTTCCAATACAGGTAGTCCTCAGTTTATGACCACAATTGAGCCCAGAATTTATGTTGCTAAGTGACAAAGTTGTTAAATCAGCTTTGCCCCATTTTATGACTTTTTTGGGGGGGGGCTAGATTCGTTAAGTGAATCACTGCAGTGATTCAATTAGTAGCACGGTTGTTAAGTGAATCTGGTTTCCCCATTGTCTTTGTTTCTCAGAAGGTTGCAAAAAATGATCACATCATCCAGAATCAGGGGTGAAATGCTCCCGGTTCGGACCGGATCACCCGATCCGGTAGCGATGGCGGCGGGTGGTTTGGAGAACAGGTAGCAAAAATCCCTGTGCCCCACCCTCCATGCCCGCTGAGCCACACGATCATCAGAGGCTTTTTTTTAAAGCATTTTTTCTACAACCTCTTGGCCGAAGAGGTGGTAAAAAAAATGCTTTGAAAAATCTCTGACGATCCCAGCTGAGTTCCTGATTGGCAGAGAGGCTTTTCAAAGCATTAGAAAAAATGCCCACAGAATCGGTAGCAACAGATTTTACATTTCACCTCTGCCTAGGACACTGCAACTGTCATAAATATGAACCAGATGTCAGGCATCTGCCTGTAAATCACGAGACCATGGGTTGCTTCAGTTGTCATAAGTCTGAAAAATGGTCATAAATCACTTTTTTCAGTGCCGTTATATGCATGTGCATCACTAAACGAACTGTTTTAAGTTGAGGACTACCTGCATTTTTTAGTGCTGATTAAGCAAACACATTATTTTGAACGGAAAGTGGTAAAAATATTGTAAATTGTGGTCCCATGACCATGGGATCTACAACTGGTCATAAAAACAAGCCAGTTGCCAAGCACTTGAAATGTTGCATGGCTGCAAGAGGTGGTGTGTGATGTGGGAGACCAAGGCTGTATGTTGTGGCCCATTAGTGGCCTGTGCAGATTGTAGCTGATTCCGACAATGAGGAGACTGGTGTGGTGCTGCGCCAGCAGCCTGTGCAGCTGGCACTCAAGTCAGACAGTGAGGAGGCTGGAGAAGATGTGGTGCCAGAGGCAGGGATTCAGCTAGGGCCTTCAGAAGCTCCAGAAGCTCCTTTAAGTGAAGAGGAAGAAGAGGAGGAGCCTCTTCTCGATGCACGGGCGCGCAGAGCGGTCAAAAGGCAGGAGTGGCTCCTCAGGAGGAGGTCTCCTCAAGAGTAAGGCTTGGGGCTAATTGGCCACTCCCTTAGCCTATTTAAGGAGGAACGCCGCTTGCAGCAAACTGTAGGGAACAACTTTAGTTCAAACTCCTTCGTGTCTGGATTCTCTGCAAAATTGTTTCTGGGCTTTCTGCCAATTTTAGTAAGACTGTGATTACCTTATCTTAGAATTCTGGTAGGCTGTTAAGACAGTTTTATTAACAGCCTTTGGTTGATAAAGACTAAGTTATTTGAGTAAAATAAGCTTTGTATAGAGTTTGTGTGTGCTGCGTTCTTTGGGTCCGTAGCTGGGGCAGAACACTGTAGTTCAGTGGTGGGTTGCCTCCAGTTCGCACCAGTTCTATAGAACCGGTAGTAAAA